TCTTGGTCTTTAGTAACTCCATTGCGGCAGGGCCAATCTGAGTGTCGAGGAATCGCTGGGCTGGTCCGCCAAGAAAGCCAGTCCATATAATGATGGTTTTAATTTTTCCACGTTTAGCCTACCCCTGGTGCAGTGGTCGGCTGGATTTTTACAGGATTTTATGTGCCGCCATTGACAAACCTCCATTTCTTTGTGAATAACAGCCAACCGGTTGGCAACAATTGTGCTGAACCGCGTCCGTAAATTGTTATTATAGTGAACATCTATAGCGGAATCATTCCAGGAGGTTACGGTACGTTTGATCGAGTTAAAACCTTTTTTTGAGCACCTTCGCTACCCTCACTGCTAATACTGCTGCGGCCAGTTCTAGCCTGGGTATTGAGACTGCCTTTAAGGGAGCAATCCTGGTTTTAGCAAATAGTATACTGCTATGCCTCCTTCGTCCTGGCCGAGACGAGCAACTGTAGGCCACTACCCCGTATCCCACCTCCGACGCGTCCGCAAAACGTGAAACTCACTTCGCTTTGTGTTGTGCATTCCTGGTATGGGACGAGGGAGTCGTACATCGCCCAGCTTGGACAGGCTCAGCCACCAGCTTTGCCAGGTCTTGTGATCCGCTTCGCATAGGGTCTCATCCCAAGTAACCTTTTTTCTACACGGGTCCTGCAGCAGAATCTTGCTCGGCAGTAGCCACGGTGCGACGGACCCCATTGGATCGTAAAGGCTGGCCAACGAAGACAAAATACCTCTGCAAGTCGCCGTCTTCTCAGGTAACTGGAGATGGAACAAAAACTCGCCTTTCTCCGAATCCCATTGCACACCAAGGGCTCTGTCTGTTGGTAATGGACTCCTCTGCAATTTACGGAGACTCGGTGCCCTCTCATCTACTGGGATGCAATCGATTGCATGACGACTGTTGGACATCCACTTGGTCATCTTGAACCCTCCCATGAGCAGTAACCTGGATAAATCCCTTATGTGTCGAACTGACTCCTCAATGCTATCGAAGAATCCCAGAAAGTCGTCCGTATAAAAATTATGTTCAACACAGGAGCCCACCGGGGTTTCGAACCGCTGGGCAAACTTGCCCACGGTCGTTTTTGCCGTGAAGTTTGCACAGAAGGGAGAGGATATCGCGCCAAACGGGTGCACCGTTATCTGATATTCCTGGGCAGGTGCATCTAGGTCTCCATCCGGCCACCACCAAAACCGTAGAGCGTCCCTTTGCCCTTCAGGGACTNTATCAGCCGCTCCCGCAACTGGCCCCAGACGAAATCTGCACAATACCTCAATCAGCGGAATCGTCAGATCTGGGCCTTATAGTAGACGGTCATTTAGGGCAATCCCGGTACACTTGGCAGCACAATCGAAGACAAACCTGATCTTCTGAGGTTTCTTGGGGTTTGTAGCAGGGTGGTGCGGTAGGTACTAAAATGGTTGCTCTTTTTCGACTTCTCTCATTGCGCGTTCGATATATCCCCACTCTAGATTGCGTTTCGGTAGGCCTCCTTCGAATATGCTTTCTTTAATCGTCCGTTTAGGTAGTTGAGCCTATGGAGGACTACTTCTCGATTGTGTGGCAGTCGATTGGATCCCGTTCTCCAGGATAATGGCACTTCAAACTGGGTTTCGTTGTGTCGTGTTGTTTCGGTGACGACAGCCAGGGTTGCTCGGTCTTTTCTCGACATAGATACCCGATCATCTGCTATGTTGCCAAACTCGTGGTTGTAAAGCCGCTCCAAGTCGTCTTTTATGGGATTATCAGACCGCGAGATGAAGTTGATCGAGGTTGAATAGTTACCATCATTACCGAGCGGTCCGCAGAGTATCCAACCAAACATCGTGCGCAATGCATACGGATCTTCACGGCCTCCTATCCTTTGGTCCAGAACCCAATGCGCCTCGGGTACATCACAGCCGATCAATATGCCCACTCGAGTGTCTGGAACATCCTCGAACGGCAGATCGTGGAGGTGATGCCAGCGCCGCGCTAACGACCGGATACTTTCGAAAGCTCTCATTGGTAAGTGGGCGATATTTAATGCCTCGTGTATCTTTATCGTATCTTCCCCCGATGTAGGAGCTAACTTCAAACTCAGTTGAGAAGCTGGAACTGCTCGTGCATCATTTACCGTGCTGATTATCAATGAGGTGGTTCGTCCACCCAGGTCGTGTTCTCGCAAAAGCTCTCTCTCTCACGAGGGTGGTATTCTATCTATTGTCTAGAAACACCACAGTTTGGAACATGCCACGCGTAGTCTTCACTTGGATTGGTATTATTCCCAAGCAGACCGGCCCACTTGACACCCGTCCGATAGTGCAGACGGATTTCGGAGTATCCCCCGCAGAGTGTTTGTTCGTTCTGTCGAGCCGGCCATTATTTGTACGCGGCTTGACTCTTCCATCGTGGTGTAATAATGGGTGATGCCGAACCCTGCAATTGCCTTGACCACAGTTCGTTCGGTCTCTGACAAGGGCTGCTCTGTGGGTATCGCTCAAGCACACAAATCAGGACCCTGTCTTTTTAGCTATTGTTCAGCGGTCTAGCACCTTTAATGCCAAAAACTCTGGGCAGGTTACAAGCTTGTGGACACCTGAGCACAGTTCGCAATTAGTCGGGTTTTGTGGGTCATATGAGATTAAGTTGGTGCTCGACCAGCTGTGTGAGGGATGGGGACCTCGAGATCTAGATGGCGCAACAATGGTTGAAGGTCTAACGTTTCTGATGCTTTTCCTCGCTAGTTGACCGAATTGACTGTTTGCTATGCGAGATTGGCAGCCTATGAATTCAGTGAGTTCGTCAAGGGTTGCCTCTCTGTCCCTTTTCTCGAGTTAATCGGCCTCGGTCACCCAGGCTGTCTGCAGTTCCGTGGGTAAATATTTGACCATCGATTCGAGCGTATAAAGTGCATCCAAGTCCGAAAGATATTTGAGGTGGTTGAGGGCGATGCTGCAGTTGTGCATCTTGATGACCAGGTTTGCTAAGGAACTGGTATCGCCTCTTGTGCGCTTCGCCTCTGCTAGCACCCCGTCAATCATGTTTCGTGTCACTCGGAATGGTTGGCTGAACATCTCCTTCAGTAGATTTTAGCTGCCCACTTCCGGGTCCAGCATTGCACACCCTTGTATAGCCTCTTTGGCCTTCCCCCGACAGAAGTGTAGAAAAAACAGAAACCTTTGTTCCACATCGTCGGTTCTGCATTCAATGAAATTTTTGTATTGACGAATGAATTGGCAATATTGTTCGGGATTGCCATCAAAAGGTGTCAGTTCGACTCTTGACAAATCGACGTTTACATGGGCATACGTTGTTTGCTTAGGGACGGAATTTTTATTCGGCGAAAAGTAACTATGTGCAGTCTCAGCTCGAGGTGATGTTGTGCCGTTGAAATCGTTTTTTCACGTGTGGCCTGTTCAATCTATTGTCTAGCAAATCTAAACTCATGCTGTAATTCAGAAACCCGCAATCTAAAGATGTCAATATCCTTAATATCTGAATCTACACATGAAAGAGCACTGACAGAACTAACAGACCTAACATTTTTTAAAGAACCAAAATGACCCACAGTCCCCCAAGTGAATTCCGGGTTACTTCCTGTTGGGTTCCAGTTTCCTTTGTTCTTCGCCTGGGCATCTTCGAAATAGTTTTCTCGTGTAATTCCGATTTGAGTACTGTACGTCAACCAATTCACACTTTAGTGACGTGTAGCCAAATCCCACACGAATCCCGAAATAAAACACGATTGATCCGTAATGTTCTACGGTACTGAATTAGCGAAAGCATTACAAATGTACAATAAAGCAAACTTGGAATATGCGGCCAAAAGCACTTAAGCAAGTGAGCCAAATATGATGTCACGATAGAACCAAACAGTTGCTCACGTTCTCTGACCACTCCAAATTCAAATGTGCTGGGCATCGCATTACCAGATAAATAGTGATGTATGGTGTTTGTGATTGAGAAATGTCAATAGAGAAGCAAAACACAGCTAGAGTTATGTCACCATAAATCATCATGGGTTTAGAAGGATTTTCCAAAATTCAACATGAAATACACCCAGGCCAACCCTTGTAGAGCTTCATAAACCGAGGCACCGAGAGTTGATGCTGGAAGCTTCCGCCAACGTGAGGAAGCTGACCGATGAACGGGTAAACATAGGGCCGGGCTACCCCCGCGACTACAACACAACGACCTCACCTAACTGCAGGCAGCAATTTAGCACCATGATTCTGTCCGTTAACGTGCCGAGAGTGGGGCACGAGAATCCGCGAAGGAAAATGACCCCTGCTCCCAGGGTTGATCCCAGGGATAATTTCTAGGGAAGGAGGACCACAATATGGTGGAGGACCCACAGGGGATCTCCACTACTAGATCAGAAGTAAAAAACTTGGAGGTCACCCGGGAGCAAATTACAGGTGCAACCCCCCCCCAAAACAATTGGAGGTAAAAGGGCGCAGTCTGTCAGTGTTTACCACACTAACGCCCGCAGCCTAATGAAGCAGTGGGCCGAGCTCTAGGCTGAGGCTGACCATACGCACTGTCTCGCCATAACGGAGATTTGGCTCAGGTGTGAAATCATTTTCCTACCGGAGCAGGTGGAAAAGACCCTGGTCAGTTTAGATAGGGGCAAAGCGACGGGACCGGACGAAATCAACCCGGCACTGCTTATGCCTCTGGGGAGTATCCTGGCTGCTCCTTCTTCAATCTGTTCATGACGAATACCACATTGCCGCAGGACTGGAAAGTAGTGAATGTGGCCCCCATCCACAAAAGGAGTGACAGGGAGCTGGCCACTGACTATGGGCCTGTTAGCTTACTCTCCGTGATCCTAAAGGTCATGGAAAGACTAATCAGAGATAAGATGGCCAGCTACCTCTTCCATTGCGACCTGCTGGCGGAGGCTCAGCACGGGTTTCGTCAAGGCCGTTCGTGCCTCATAAATCTGCTAGCTTTCCTGGATATCGTGACTAAGCGGGTGGACAGAGGGGAGGGAGTCGAAGTCTGCTATCTGGACTTAAGTAAGGCTTTAGACTCCGTCAACCATCGGTTGCTGTTAGCCAAGCTAGGTACGATAGGGATCCACCCTAGTTTATTCAGGTGGACTGACAGCTACCTGACAGCGAGGACGTTTCGCGTACGGGTGAAGGGGGATTGGTTGGAATGCGAGCACGCTTATGGACCTAGACCCAGTACAAGCATGGTGTGCAAAGTGGGGTGCCCCTTTAAATCCAGCGATGTGCAAGATCCTACGAGTCGGAAGTGCTCAAGAGGGCTGGGCCACGCTACATGGGAGCCAACGACGGGGATGCTATGGCAGTTGTGCCAGAGATCAGGGACCTGGGGGTCACTCTGAAATCCGCTTTTAACTCCTCTACCCAGTGACTTCCTGCGGCACGTACGGCCAAAAGACTGTTGTTCAGGTTGAAGCGCACAGTGACGTCCAGGGACCCTGTCGTGCTAGTCCCGCTCTACATGGCCTTCGTTCGGCCGCACCTAGAGTACTGTGTACAAGCTTGGTCCCCAGCTCCGAAGAAGGATCGAAGGGTTCTGGAAAGGGTGCAGAGGATGTTCACGCGCATGTTCCTGCACCTTCGAAGAGCGACATATGCCGAATGCCTTCAGGGGCTGAACCTGTTCTAACTCAGTCGGAGAAGGCTGAGGGGGACCTGATCGAAACCTTTCGTATCTTGAAGTGTTTCTCTCATGGAATCTCCCACCTACTTCAGCCGAGCGGTGTACCCAACAGCGGACACAGCATTAAGTTAGACATGCCTAGAACGCTCAAAAGCCTGAGAGTCACCTTTTTCTCGCACCGGGTAATTAATACATAAATCAAACTGCCGCAGGAGGTAGTCGGGTCAAAAACCATTGCCGAGTTCAAGCTGAAGCTTGACGCTTCCTGGGCATCAGCGTTCCCCGATTGTATCTGACACCGGGCCTGAGGTCGCTAATAGCTCGTCCGCCTCCGTCTCCCTCCCTCCTTCATTTAACTCTTTATCTCATACTCCAATTTGATTTCTCCAACTCCCTCAGCTCCAATTTTCATTCATTGTGCACCACATTTTACTGAAAGTTCTCAACATCGAGCAGCACCACTTTTAGGTCATGTTTCTTCTCCCAACACACCTTCTACTCTGGGTTGCTCGAAGCGGTTGGTTGCGAGCTGCTGCCTTGATCCTTGTAAAACTTCAGATGCGTATTTTCACTCAAACCTTTGCGCGTGGTTTGACTTTTCGATTTCCTCTCGGGTTAAAAATTTGTGTTTCGAAACTAGTGAAATATCTACAGATATACCTTAGTTTTGCACTAAATCTTTTAGTGCTTACCATACAAAGTGTCGACACCTTTAGCCGTTCACAAAATTTGTATCTGAGTCGTTTTTAGTTTTTTATAGTTGTGTTCCCAAAGCGCTTTTAGCCAATTTTACCCTTTTATTCGTTTATTTGTTTTCTGCGACCGTGTTTTTGAAATTCTCGCAGGTTTATCAAAGAGAGAGTACCTCATACACCTTCAGAACAAGAACCTGAAGTAGGTTTGTGACCGGTGCGAGACATTCGCGCTCGAGTGCTCACGCCTGGTACATGGTATGGTTGCTGCTGACGGGTTAAACCCTAAGATGCTGATAAAGAGCACAATTACGTCGAAAAAGAACACGGGTAAACAGAGCATTAGTGTTAAACCGACGGAGTCCGTAGAAATTAGGTTGAAGACGAAAGGAGAGCAAGCTGCTAAGAAGGAAGATACAGAATCTGGAGTGATTACAGCCCTAATTTCGCGAATGGAAGTTCTAGAAAGGGAGCTATCCAGGTCAGGTCAGGTCGGTTCACAGGACGTAGCGGCGGCGTGCCAATTTGTCCAGCTTCTTCCACTAATGGGCTCCGTGGATCCCCTGGTGCTACGACAACAGGAAGAGAAAAACACTTCCTCAATTAAACGAATAGCATACACCGACCAGGAGAGAGTCCCTTCGCAGGGCTTCGGTCAGAGGGGATTGTCAAGAATGGTGTTGCAGCTTGCAGG